GCGGGGGCTGCGCGCGCGCCATGTCGGGGCGCTCGGTGCGGGCCGAGACCCGCAGCCGCGCCAAGGATGACATCAAGAAGGTGATGGCGGCCATCGAGCGCGTCCGCAGATGGTGAGGGGCGGGCCCGCGGGATGGGAGGGGCCCCCGCCGCTCCCGCGCGCAGCCAATCAGCGCGCCGCGGGGCGGGACGCGGGAGCGCGCGGCCAACCAGCGGGCGCGGGTCGCGGGGCCGGCGGCCAATGGGAGCGGGGAAGGGGGGCGGGAGCGCCCGTGATGGGCGGGCGACGCGGCCAATCGCGGCGCGGCGGGGCGGTGGATTGATGCTCCGCTAGGCCAATCGGGGGGAAGCGGGGGGGCCGGGCCTGTTGCCATGGCTCCCCAGGCCGCCCCTGGCAGCGCCGTGTCCCGCAGGGAGAAGAAGTGGGTGACGGTGGGAGACACGTCCCTGCGGATATTCAAGTGGGTGCCGGTGGCCGACAGCAAGGAGGTGGGTACCGCACGTGGAGACGAGCCGGGAGCAGCCGCCCCCAAGCCGGGACGAGCCTCCCTTAGCACCCCGTCCCGGGCCGAACACCGAGCCCTCCTGAGCACCCCCTGCAACGAGCCACTGCCGAGCCCACCGAGGCCCTCTGACCCCTCCCCAGGCCCTGCAGAACTCTCCTGAATCCCCCCTAGCCCCTGCCAAGCTCCCCAGAGCCACCCAGTCGACTTCCGAGCCCCCCGGCCCCACCGACCCCGGAGCCCACCTGTGCCCACCCCGAGTTCACCCCCGAGCCCCCCAAGCCAAACTGAGCACCTGCCACACCCCTCTGAACCCCCCTGACCCCCACGAAGCCCTCCTGAGCCCCCCCAAGCCCCAAGGATCTCCCCTGAGCTCCCCATGACTCGACCTGAGTCCACCCAGCCCTGCTGAGCCCCCTGAGCTCCCCCAAGCCCCTTCCCATTCCTCCTTAGCCTCTCTGCCCGAACCACCCGAGGACTTGGTTGTCTCAATGTCACTCCTAGACAGGCATCATCTCCTCTTCTCTCTCCCGATTCCTAGCTTTCCACAGCCAGAGTTTTGCCTTTCACTTAGCAAAGTGCCCCTGAAGGGAAGGGAAAAGGCCAGCTTGAGCACATCCCTCTGTGCTGCTGGAGACGGAGAGGGGAAGGGCTCCTCTGGAGCAGCCTGTGCTCCTCTGACCTCCTGTTTGTGCTTTCCTTTCTCTCCTCAAGAAAGAGAAATCCAAATCAAGCAGCAGCACTGCTCGAGAACCCAATGGCTTCCCAGCTGACACTTCTGCCAACTCCTCCCTTCTCCTGGAGTTCCAAGGTGCGTCTGGCTGAGTCCCCTCTGACCTGGGGAAAGACTCCAAGGCTGAACATTGCCAGTTCTGT